TGCAGTTTATTAACTCCTCCATCTTACCAATTGCTCTTCATTGCTCCCCCCACAACCACACCTTACTCTTTCCTCGACAACTTACTCGTAAAGGAGTATGCCCTATTACGCAAAGGTTCTTCGTAGGGTAAGTTGTGTGTGCTATGTAGTCGGCTCATTACTAACAAAGTTGACAGAAACCTGAACTCATGTGAGAATCTGTCTAAATCTATACTGTCTGACTCTCGACACTCCATCCCGTCTCTATTCACAACTGTCACCGCTTTCCATATCATCTGGTAGGTCTGTCTAGAAGTCATTATAATAAAAGATGATATGCTCGATCGCACAACCAAGTATTAAAAACTCAACGATAGATAGCCCATTTGGTTCACCCCCCCCCCCCGGACTGCGTTCTACTTGATAAAGATAGTGTCAAACATGTGAAACTTACGAATTACGGTGTTATTGGCATCTTTTAAAAATGGAACAGTCATTCTCTCATATTTGTAATTCGATGGTGACACTTGCTATCCCCATTATCTTATAATTTTGTGTCAGTAATACTGATAATATCATTATTATTATTCTTATCATAATGTTCTTCCCCTAACGCCTAAAGTTGTTGGTGTTATCAATAATCCTGGTCAAGTGTACCCTGTACCTCTGTTGTTCTTTCTGTTAAGTGGATTAGACGCAATTATTGTACAAAATGCTGAAATCTTTACACTGTTTTGGAATAAAGCAAATCATCATTATTATTGGGTAATTGCATCATCACTCCAGCCATTCATGAAGAATTCTAGAAAAACTCTCACGGATGCCTAGACGAAGCAGACAATCAAAGCATCGCAATTGAAACACACCACACCTCTAGCTCAGAGAAAACAAAAACAGAAGAAAAATGTTTTCTTAAAATATGTGATTTTCACTCTAACAACTAGTCTAAATCCGTATGAAGGTGTGAAATATATATGCAGAGTGAAGTGGCTTGCTGTACCGGTTCATTGATCGCCTAACTTATCTATCTAGAAAATGCCCAGTAGGCCGAGATTAGGACTTAGCAGCGGGACCTGATTTATTGACTCCAGAGGTATTTAAGTACGGAGGCGACAGTTTACTGTCTGCGTTAACAGAGGTTCTAGGCAGCGTCTGGGAATCAGAGGAAGTCCCATCGGGTTGGTGTAAGTCACTGATCATCCCGATATACAAGAAGGGGGACAAGTCGTCTTGTGATAATCACAGAGGGATTAGCCTGACTAATATAGTATCTAAAATCCTAGGCTCAATAATACTGCGTAGATTAAGTGGTGCTCGGGAGACACAAACACGAGAAAACCAGGCAGGTTTTAGGCCAGGTAGAGGGTGTATTGATCACATCTTCACCCTTCGACAGATTCTAGAACATAGGCATTCCTACCGGCGTCCGACAATCATTATATTTCTTGACCTAAAGGCGGCATTCGATTCTGTCGACCGGGAGGTTCTCTGGCGATGCTTGGCTGTAAAGGGAATGCCAAGAAAATACATTGCACTGATTAAGGCACTCTACTCGTACTCATGCAGCCAGGTGAGGGCTTATGGTGAGTTGTCATCTGAAGTGGTGACGACTAGTGGCGTCCGTCAAGGTTGCCCATTATCCCCATTCCTATTCAATTTCATCATAGATGTACTAATGGACTTAACCCTAACTCACTTCAGCGACTCAGGGATTGACTTGCTACCAGGGAAGAATCTCGTTGACTTAGAATATGCGGACGATATAGTCCTTCTAGGCGAGGACTCTGACAAAATGCAGAGTCTACTGAACACCCTGAGCAACAATCTCCGCATGTTTGGCATGCGATTCGCCCCTATAAAATGTAAGATGATGCTGCAGGATTGGACTTCATCGACCCCTAGATTAGAAATAGGAAGTGAAGTGGTAGAACACGTTGACCGCTTCACTTACTTGGGAAGTACCATCAGCCCCAACGGGTTGATCTCCGACGAAATTTCAGCACGAATACAGAGGGCTAGGTTCGCATTCGCCAGTTTTCGCCGTCTCTGGCGTAGACGCGATATCCGACTATCGACCAAAGGGCGTGTGTACTGCTCAACAGTCCGCTCCGTCCTCCTTTATGGCTGTGAGACCTGGCCATTGAGAGCAGAAGACATGAAAAGATTAACTGTCTTCGATCATAGGTGCCTGCGTTCTATCTCCCGCGTGAAGTGGTATAATAAGGTGAGCAATATTGAGGTTAGGCATCGCTCGAGTGCTAGGTAAGGCGGGGAAATCAATCGACGAGACTGTGAAATTACTTCGACTGAGATGGTTAGGACATGTGCTACGTATGCCTAGTCATCGCCTTCCTCGACGGGCAATGTTAGCTGATATAGGGTCAGGCTGGAAAAGAGCTAGCGTCGGTCAAACCAAAACATGGCACCAATCAATGAAATCCACAACAGTTAATCTAAGCCACGTAGGAAGATGTAGACTTCCTGGTTGGGGCCCTCGGGATGGTAAAAACCAATGGTTGGAAACAATTGGTGACATGGCTCAAAATCGTTCTCAGTGGCGCAGATGCATCCACTCCTTGTGACTTATCATTTCCAATTAAACTGTTTTGTTCTCCGTTATTACTATTCCTTTGTCTCACACCTCTGTTTACTGTCTATATTATGCATTTCTTCTACTACCTTCTCTTGCTCTGCGTGCTACATGGATTGTGGCGACTTGAACTGCCGCACATATGTGCAAAGTTCTATGTCGAAAACAGACAGACAGACAGACTAACTTATCTATCTAGAAAATGCCCAGTAGGCCGAGATTAGGACTTTCCAGAAGTTCTCCGATGGTTTTTATCTAACTAATGCCGAAAAGCCTGAATCCAATGAAATCCCTGCAAACCAACAATTGGGTATCACAATCTGATGCTCACTAGAGCAACCGGCCTTATTCAGATACGTACTAGCTACCCGGTTTCCAGTGGGAAGTCATGACCGGCATGGAGTACAGCACGTCGGGTATGAGGACTGGTCGTCGCACGATATCCTGAATAGGCAGAAGTTGGAATTCCTCATGGGCTGGTCATTGGATCCGGACCCAGTAGTTTAATGGTCTACAAGCTAGCTCGCCGTCTCGTAACCGATGGGTCTTCTTCTCCAACCAATGTGGTAGGTCCGTTCTGATGGAGAGTTACAAACTACAAAGAGAAACAACTGCCCAATACTTCTCTGAGCAATGTCATCTCATGATGAAATCCCATAACCAATCAATCAAATCAAATCCCCACAAACTACACTTGTTTTTGCAACTAGACCTCATCAGCATGTCAGTGGTAGAATGCTCGCCGACCCCGCGATCCCCGACCGACGTTCTCATAAACCTCGCTGACCCGGTAAAGTCAGTAAACGGTGGGGGGAAGGCTAGCAAACTCACTCTACTGCTACTGAAACTCCTAAGCACTCTAGCTTGAAACCATATGTTCCACATCGAAAGTAAAGAAAATAAAATAATAATAGTAAGATTTCACCAGGCTTCACTCTCCAATATACCCACATAACTTTACAAATAAATATTAAAATATAAACTAATCACGGTTGTATGGTCGTCAACTGGATGGTAACACTGTGCAAATAGTCTAATAATAATAATAATATCAATAACAGATGTGATGAAAAAGCCAAGCGTTCTTGTGAAAACAACAGTTTCGACTCCGTGGATCGCGAGATACTATGACAATGTTTGACTGTGAAGGGAGTGCCAAGACAGTACATTGCACTAATCAAGGCACTCTACTCAAACTCACGTAGCCATGTAAGGGCTTATGGGGAATTGTCATCTGAATTGATAACAACCAGTGGTGTCCGTCAAGGATGTCCACATTCCCCCTTTTCTGTTTTACTTCATCATAGATATGCTAATGGAAGTATCCTTAACTGAACTTAACGACTTAGGAATCGACTTGTTACCAGGGAATAGTCTTATGGACTTAGAATATGCAGATGACATAGTCCTGTTGGGGGAGGATGCTGACAAAATGCAGTCTACTGAACACCTTGAGCAACAATCTTCGTATGTTTGGCATGCGATTCGCCCCTGTAAAATGTAAGATGCTGCTACAGGACTGGACTACGTCAACTCCTAGCTTAGTGATAGGGAGTGAAGTGATAGAACATGTTGACCACTTCACCTATTTGGGAAGTTGTATCAGCACCAACGGATTGATTGGTGACGAAATCTCAGCACGGATCCAAAAAGCTCGGGCTGCTTTCGCTAACTTACACCATCTCTGGCGTAGGCGTGACATCCGGCTATCAACCAAGGGACGTGTGTACTGCTCAGCAGTTCGCTCCGTCCTTCTCTATAGCTCTGAAACAAGGCTCAGACATCGTCGAAGCATCTGCACAAGAAGCCGACAGACATGCCAACCTGAGACCGAGCACTTCGGTTCAATCGATCGACGGGAAAATCTAAAATTCAATTAAATAATTAATATGACTCGTTCCATAAGAGGTGGCTCTCGTGGCTCAAGTGGTCTAGTGGAGAGCGCTTTGGAGTTTGAAACTATGGGCACTGAGTTTGAGTCTCGGTGGGAACATCATTACTCGCTGGGATATGCAGGTTCGTCGAGCTGACGAGTCCCAAACAAGACGAAAAGCGCATCCTGGCTGAATTCCACTGCTAGTCACCGTCTACTAATTAAATAATAATAATTGTGTCAACAACAGATGTGATGAAAAAGTCAAGTGTTCCTGTGATAACAACAGTAATGATATTTACAAGTTGTGTGACCCCTGCCTCCCTTCCCCCCCACTCACCTACACCACTTTATCCCAACCACAGATGCGTTGAAAAACACCATGTGAGATAAAAAAGTATGAATTATAAAGATAGAAAAGAGAAAAATCACATAGCACATAACACCACACATACATACGCAACATAAGGGGCTCTTCATCAACAGTCTACTAAGATGAAACTCTGAAGGAAAGCATTTGTTCATATAGAAAAATAATCACCACGTGTATATGAAAGATTATGACGATTTTGGAATATCTGGTCGTGTCACTGCTGTCCGACCATCGCCAGCAGTGGACACTGGTGCATGTCCAGCGCGTATAGCTCCTTCCTTAGCCTCTTTCAGTGATAACTCTAGGCTGCGTACACGCTCCGGAGTACACTACAAGAAAGAAAGAAAACATGACAAAATAGGCGGCGATATAACCATTGACGTTTAAACGGATTTCTCATCTGTATTATTAGAATGCTTGTCAGTGAAAAATTGTCCTCAAACAGTAATAGTATCTCAGTGTCCAGAGGAACCCGTACAACACTTCATTTATGCCGCTATGAACAATCGTGAGATCAGGAGATTCAATTTCTCGTAGATCAATTTCACCTATCCACTAATTTCTTCACACATTATTATTATTCACATGAGACTTCAAACACTCACTTCCCTTTTAAATTTAATGATGACTACATTGCAGTTTTTATCACAAGCTAACATCACTCAGAGAACCATTGGAGAACTCGGGAGTGAGTACTGGGGGGGGGCTGTTCCACCCCAGCTTCGGATTATTCAGCAGTACGCACCCATGATCTACCAATCACAAGTCAAGCTCACAGACCACTCAGACACTGGGATCGAATCCACTGCCACATGAATTCTAATCTCTTCCAAATCGTAATTTTACCGTAACTGTCACCAGCCAATGTCATCCATGGCCAGGATTCGTCCAGTTACTAGTGACCAGAAATAAATGGTCCTGAGAGTTGGAACACCAATGGATGCGTACTTCTGGACAGTTCCAAACTAGCTAAGACAAAACAACTGTCCAGTACACTACCCTGGTTTTCCAATGATTCGCTAACTCGTGTCAAACTTCAAACAAATCGGATGTCTACAAAATAACTCCTGAACATGACTACATTATTTCTCGAGTGACACTGGAAACTATAGTGTCAGTCAAGACCAGTCAGCACAAAGCATACACACTAACAATTACTGAAAGACAGTCTACCTCTCTAACACTTAATAACATCAACTCCAAAAGTATTAAGGTATGTACATAGACAAAAAATTCAGACTTCACACGATGCTACTAGCCACCCAGCTGCTCAGGTTGAATTAGGCTCACGGCCAGGTGACTGTCAGGCTGGTTGGAGTCGAGTCATTGCACTCATCAACCTCCTGGTCAACAATTATGAGGCAGGCTACGACGTACTATCCCGAAGGCGCCACAAATTATTGCTTAGATGGCTCAAAAATGACTTTCAATGATGCGCATCCACTCACATTTTTGTAATCTATCAAGGATCCATCAGTGTCGATGTAGTCATTCCTCCTCTCAGACATTTCAGTTTGTTTATGCGTACATCTAGGAAGTTTAGCCAGTTGGAACTGTTGTATTTTGTACAGTGATGATCTACGTTGAAAACTCAGTTCAGATCAGTTCACTTTTCTGGATTTCATATGCACAATATTCCTTCATAACACATCAATTATGTGTCAGGCATAACTAACTAACTAACTCGGTGAGAAGTATGAATCAATTTGCTCATCTGTAGGCCACACATCTGCTATCTCGATGGCTATCGCTTATCAGATAGAGGTACAGCTACATAAACAAAGTCTTGATAACATGTCTGTGTGCTTCACGGACGATCAACGACTGACTGGTTTCAACATAAAACTAGCTCAAGTTGCCACTCTCCCTCCATGTAGCACACAAACCAAGATAAGAGAGTAAAGAGAGTCATCAAAAGACAGAAGTGTGAGCTAGGTAAAATGAATAGTAATGTGGAAGAAACAATACAGTTTTGTTGGATATAACAAATCATAAAGAGTGAATGCATCTGCGCTAGCCATCATTGAGAACGAAGATTTTGAACCATACCACCAATTGTCTCCAGCCATTATTGGTTCCCACTATCCCGAGGACACCAACCAGACAGCAGTCCACACATCCCTACGTGACTGGCTGGCTCGAACTAACTGTTATGGATTTCATTGACTGATGAAGACATGTTTTGGTTTGACCATCACATGCTAGCTCTTTTCCAACTTGATTCATCAAATGTCAGCGGCTAACACTACCACCCGTCAAGGAAGACGATTGGTGGCTAGACATTCGTAACACATGTCCTAATCATCTCAATCGATTTAGCTTCACAACTTCGGCGACTAATTCTACCTCCTTACCTAGAACTCGACTTCCAACCATAACATTACTTGCCATATTATACCAGCTAACAGCGGCGGCGACAGAACACAGACACCTACGATCAAAGACAACTAACCGGCCTTTTCATGTCTTCCACATCCAATGACCATATCTAACTCATCACAGCCATAAATTGGCGGCTAATGTCAAACGAGCCCACTCCATGATGATCATCGACATCACTCTATTTGGCAGTAGTTAGAATTCATAGGTGGTGACTAAATTCCATCGCAATGGCTGAATGGTCACAAACGAGGTCGCCTCGTTATTTCCAAGGCCCTAGCTGCATAACGAAATCCCGATGCTTATGTCAGTTAGTGGATGAAATCAACAATGAAAAGTCTGTTTTTCATTTAAAGGACAAGATAAAGAAAAGGTAATGATAATTACTAACCACCAACTAACTAACTAACCTTAAGACGTTTTTCCGTTTCGGAAAGTTCACAACGTAGCTCTGCATTGTCTACAAGTCGTCTAAGCACTTTAGTCAACTTGCCTCGATCTTTTACATACTAGTATATAGTTTAACTAAGGTACTAGGTAACGTCTGGGAATCAGAGACGGTTCCATCAGATTGGGGTAAGTCACTTATTATACCAATATTCAAGAAGGGAGACAAGTCCTCATGTGATAATCATAGAGGAATCAGCCTGACGGACATAGTCTCTAAAATCCTAGGCTCAGTAATCATGCACAGACTAAGCCAAACTCGGGAGGAACAAACCAGGGAAAATCAAGTGGGATTTAGGACAGGTAGACGGTGCATAGATCATATCTTCACTCTCCGACAGATCCTAGAACATAGACACACTTTTAAGCGTCCAACAATCGCCATACTTCTTGACTTGAAGACGGCCTTCGACGCCGTGGAGCGAGAGATACTATGACAATGTTTGACTGTGAAGGGAGTGCCAAGACAGTACATTGCACTAATCAAGGCACTCTACTCAAACTCACGTAGCCATGTAAGGGCTTATGGGGAATTGTCATCTGAATTGATAACAACCAGTGGTGTCCGTCAAGGATGTCCACATTCCCCCTTTTCTGTTTTACTTCATCATAGATATGCTAATGGAAGTATCCTTAACTGAACTTAACGACTTAGGAGTCGACTTGTTACCAGGGAATAGTCTTATGGACTTAGAATATGCAGATGACATAGTCCTGTTGGGGGAGGATGCTGACAAAATGCAGTCTACTGAACACCTTGAGCAACAATCTTCGTATGTTTGGCATGCGATTCGCCCCTGTGAAATGTAAGATGCTGCTACAGGACTGGACTACGTCAACTCCTAGCTTAGTGATAGGGAGTGAAGTGATAGAACATGTTGACCACTTCACCTATTTGGGAAGTTGTATCAGCACCAACGGATTGATTGGTGACCAAATCTCAGAACGGATCCAAAAAGCTCGGGCTGCTTTCGCTAACTTACACCATCTCTGGCGTAGGCGTGACATCCGGCTATCAACCAAGGGACGTGTGTACTGCTCAGCAGTTCGCTCCGTCCTTCTCTATGGCTCTGAAACATGGCCAATACGAGTTGAAGACATGAAAAGGTTGTCTGTTTTTGAACACAGATGTTTACGATCTCTTTCTCGCGTTAGGTGGCATAATAAGGTAAGTAATGTTGACGTTAGGCGTAGAGTGTTGGTTGGGCAAAGAGGGAAAATCAATCGAAGAGGCTATAAAGTTACATAGATTGAGATGGCTAGGTCACGTGCTGCGTATGCATAACCATCGTCTCCCCCACCCGACGGGCATTACTAGCTGATATAGGTGCAGGTTGGAAAAGAGTAAGTGGTGGCCAAACAAAAACATGGCATCAATCCATGAAATCCTTGACAGTTAAACTGAGTCAGGTAGGGAGATGCAGACTTCCGGGTTGGGGCCCGCCCTCGGGACTCTAAGAATCAATGGCTGGAGACACCAGGTGACATGGCTCAAAATCGTTGTCAATGGCTTACGCAGATGTATTCAGTCTCTGTAATCTTTCATATTCCTTTCTACCATTACTCATTCTGTTTCACTCTTATACTTGTCAAAACTCTATTGATTCTCTTCACTCATTTTCCTGTCTACCTTTGTGTGCTATTTGGAACGTGGCAACCCGAACTGCTGCACTTCGGTGCCAAGTTCTATGTTGAATCCAGCCAGCCAGCCAGCTCCACATTGTCTACAAGTTGTGTAAGCACTTTAGTCAACTTGCCTCGATCTTTTACAAGGAAGGCAATTTTCTCTAATTGAGCCAGTGAACCAGCTTGACCTGGTTCATCGTCATCATCGTCCATGAATATACTTTCGGAGATTTCTTGTTGTTGACTGGCCATATATCCGCCTTGCTGGTTACCTGCAGCTTTTTCAGCCGCTGCCAGTGCATTCACGCGATTTGCAGACTAAAAGAGAAATCGGCACATTAAAAATAACTAACATGGAATTTTACACTTGAATCCACAGTGTTCAAATCTTATAAAACTATATATATATGAGCAACCATCAAACAATCAATAATGTGATAAAGTGCGGTAGACTGCCCACCGACCGTGCCTAATGTGGTCCGGAGTTCGATTCTCGGTCACAGGCACATTCCTTTACCTCTGTAAGCCAGTAATAAGACTGGTAAAGAGGGAAGTTGGGCATAAAGCTAGCAACCCCAACCTGTAAAAGTAAACACCACTGCTACCGAAACCTCAAGCTAATTCTTATAAGGCTTGCAGGACTTCCTTCACTTCATCTTTGCTCGACTGGTATTCAGCTTTGACACACACACACACACACACACACAATGAGTGAAGAAAAATAATCCATTTAGAGGAAACATTTCACAAAAATAATAATCCTATCAATACAATACTATGTGAGTTATGTTGACTTCGGTGAGTATTTCTTCTACAGAGCAGACGGGGTGAAGAGGGAGGGAGGATGCAGTAAAGATGAATAAAAAGACATTAGTGGATAGGCAAAATCCAAGTTGCTGGTTGTCAAAAACGAGTGGCAGTCATCATGTGCTTTAGAAAGAAGAGGGAAATAACTTCAGTACTCTAATACTTGCCGATTCATCGTAATTATGAAACGGTTAGACTTAAGACAAACACCTACCCTTCAGTCTGAAAGTTTCCACAATGTCTTTCCACATTTCATCTATTTATAGCCTTTCCCAATTTAGTGTGTAAGAACCACGTGAGTTCAGTAATTTCACTCATCCACTATGAATGATGAAAACTCATGCCTACACCATCATCATCTTTACCAGTAAAGTCAAACCACAGTCATTCTACTACTTCTACTACTCTTACCACTGTTACTGTTACTACTGCTTGAAAGTTCACCAGAATAAGCAAACAAAATAACATGCACTCTGAGGAGGAAGAAAGCACTTTAAACCAGTTTACATGAAAACACAGGAGAGATTCACTGCAAAAATAATTTCTAAAAAAAACCTCTTCACAATATGACAGGAAAACACTATTATATCATTAACTAATATCAAACACCACTTTAACAAGAAGCTCATCTGAAACAACAGTCACAAGAACATATATGCCCATCACATAGTATTCACATTCAATGAAAAACAAGAATGCAACTGGGGCTCATACATTTTTATGCACTCACTCCACTACCAGTCAATGGGTAACGCGCTAAGAACCTCACTTTTCCTACAGAGGGTTTGGGCAACCACTAACAAGGCACCAGTGGTACGATTAGTGCTCACATACAATAGGTGTGACTCATCGACAACTTCGTCGAAATCCAAGTGGCCATTGAATCTTGCCTTCTCTCAACCTCCACCCACCGCCTTCTACTCTCCAATGAAAAGCAACACAACGGACCTCAGAAAATCTACCAAATGATAAAAGCAGTTAATTATAACGGCTAAAATGTATCACCTTTCAATACACTTCCATGGATATATAAATTTATACAAAGTTCATAACATGTATTACCACTTACCTGAAGAGTTGTAATTTCTTTTAATTGTCCCTCACGTTCTATACGCAAAGAATTGTTCACCACGTCTTGCTCTTCAATTTGCTGTCGAAGACGAGCTATTGTCTGAACTTGCTTATTTATTTCATCATATTTGTCGTCAAGTTGCTGATAAAGCAACTTTAACTGTTCATCTCCAACTTTCCTTGCCAAAGCCAAACCAGCTCCGACAGTGAAGGCTGAGAGAAAAACAACACACAATGATCAACGTTCTACATAGTATTTATGATACGACAAGAACGTGTAATATCTCATGGTTTCAACAAAACAAAACAAAATTAAAAAGAAACTGACAAATCATCAAATACATTTCGATAACTTCGCATACAAAATAAAAAGCCGAGGCAAGCATACAATCGGAATGGAATAACCACTTCTGAATTGTAACAACACGTTCTTGGTTGCCAAAGTGCCATCAGTTCAGTCAGAAATACACACAAACAACAACCAATCAGTCAGTCAAATAGTTAAAACATTAATTAATTAATAATAATAATAATGGCTTTATTCCAAACAGTATTTGTGGTACAGGTATGGAATTTTCAGCGTTCATTACAATATTGCATCTAATTACCTCATAAATTTTATAAGGATTTAGAAATATAAAGCAACAACAACAAAAAGAAAAAGAGAAATAAAAGAAATAAAATAAAAAAGAACAGCATTACATTCACATATTTAAACAGTGCACCACAGGATACGATATATAAAATTAGTCTGTAATAGAATATATGAGCAGCAATATAATAGTAACAAAGAAAGGAGAACAAAAGCTAATGGGAACTATTTGTTAGAGTGCCGCAGTAAATTGATCATGTCATGCTTAACAGTTTTCTCATCACATAACAGCTGTGCCAGATAAGGTATTGTGGAGTTTTTATACTTGGTAGTCCTGGCATATAGCTTCCTATAGTTACTTCTAGTTCTACCAGATGATATGCAAAGAGAGAGGTGTGTATAGAGAGGATGCTCAGGGTCTGACAATATAGTATTCGCTAGTTTCTTACATGACATTATATGTCTATCCACTATGGTGTTAACCAGTTGGTTTAACGATATCCCACTTGCCCTACTAACAGCTTTTAGTGCCCTACGCAGCGAAGCAAAGTCTTTCTTAAGTAGTCCTGGAAAGATTAATGGGGAGCAGTAAAGAGGGATGGGTAGAATACAGGAATTGACAAACTGAGAAAGTAAAGACTGCTTTATACCAGACTGCCTAAACTTCCTAAGGTAGAACGTTAAGCGAAACATCTTTCTAGTCACTAGCAAGATGTGAGAGGACCAGGAAAGATCGGAGGAAATACTCAGTCCAAGGTACTTGACATCTGATGTAGTTTCAACCTCTATGCCGTCAATGATAGTGGGACCATATGAGCTAGCTAGTTGTTGAAGGTCACTTTTTCGTCTGAAAGTAAAATTTACTACCTGACATTTAGACGGATTCAGCTTAAGACCGTTTGAAGAGGACCACTGACTAATTTCCGAGAGAAAGTTATTTAATATGGAACAGTCTGACTGAGAGTTGACAGGCATGGAGACAGAGAGGTCATCAGCATACTTGACAAAAGTGGCTACATCAGAATGGGGCAAGTCATGTAAGAAAAAAGAAAACAGAAAAGGAGAAAGAACGGCACCTTGAGGAACACCAGCTGAAGTAAGTGAGGTAGAGGAGGACTTTCCATTGTAGACAGTGTACTGCTTCCTATCAGAAAAGTAGGAATACAACCACTTATTTATCCAGCTCTCACTCTGTGTTGCAGCAAGCTTACTTAACAAGAGAGACCTAGGTACAGAGTCAAATGCAGATGTGTAATCAAGGAAGGCACACCGAACATATTTGGCTCCTCTATCTAAACTAGAGACTATATTATGATATAGAACTACAGCGGCATCTAGGGTACACCTACTATGTTTATAGGCAAACTGGTTGGGGTCGTTAAAAGGCTTTAAAGAGGGTTCAAGATTAAGTAAACTAAGTCTTTCCATAACTTTTAAAAAAGGTGAGGTAATAGCAATGGGTCTAAACTTGACAGTAGGTCCACTTGTTGATTTGGGCACTGGAACAACCTTGATATTTTTCCATGAGTCAGGAATAAAACTTTTGGAAAAAGATTCATTGAAAATGTCAGTTAATGGGTAACATAAGATGTCAGCACACTTCTTAAGGATAACAGCAGGAACTCCATCAGGACCAAGGGACTGGGTAGGTTTGAGAGATTGAAGACACTTGAGGACATCATTCGTGTTAAAACATGAAAAGCAGTCATTATTTATACTATTAGATTTGGGAATCATAACATCTGCAGGGATACATATGAAGGATTTATTTAGCATATCAACATCGACAGAAGTATCATTCATTATTTGCTTACCACCTGTGATTTCCTTTAAAAGCTTCCACATATTAGATGAGGATTTACATGAAAGAAACTTCTGGTTATAGAGAGCATTTAATCTTTGTAATTCGGCTTTAATCAAAGTGTTTATTCTCTTAACACCAGATTTATTTTTCATTTTGTATAACCTCTTTTTGACGGCGAAGCTTTTTGAGTTGAGATGACGCGAAACGGTCGAACTTTAAGAAGATTGTCTCTTTAGGACAACAAACATCAAGACAGAAATTGAGATAATGTGTTATGTTACTAATTGTGTTGTCAAGAGCTTACTCGGTGAAGAAGATACTCCCTGTTTGAATTACAGATCAAAGCACGGCTCCACATAGAAGTTAAAGTTACCACGCTGAGTCTGTAGTTAATGATCTTCACTATCCCAAGGACCCTCAGCTAAGCCAGACGGTCCAAACACCCCCTCACATGTTCACACCAACAATCACTACATCGACAGAAGTAAATAATGGTGACTCAACCGCATATTTATGCACAATGTTCGCTGGAACTATTACACCTTTCCTCAGTCTATATACATGAGTTCAATATGATAGGAGTGATTTCCTGTGACCGCATTGTCAATATACCAAAATAGGACATAATATTACTCCACTAGTGATCTTAACTGCAACATGCCATTTCTCCACATTAAATTATAACGCAATTTCCTACGACCGCCTTTATGAGTTACATTTGACAGATGACGACCGGTGACAATAGCCAGTTCCCTAGGATAAAATAAGCAGAGTGGGCTTTCGACCTCCTCACCCATTAACTCAACTTTACATACTTAACACAATCAGCCATACATCAACGCACATCAAGCAGATAATTAGACAACAGGATGGAAATAATCTAATCGGTCGTAAAGCAGGATAAAACGAAGAAATAGATGATAATGTAAATAGATAAATGAGCTATTATAACAAGGATAGGCACAAACCATGAATCCACCCCTATCATCACTACGATCAATTCTGAACACTATCACCAGGAGTTTCTAGCCACAGGTTCTGATCGGCGTGCAGCTGATTCGCTTAAGCGCTCCATTTTCAGTCCATGGGTTCGGAATTTAAATCCTGTTAAATCAAACTCAACCTGCCCAACTTGGTAGCAACATTAGTCTTCACAAAATATGTGTGGTTTACGGCCCAATACACGAGAAATCTGCTCTAGGTAACTCAGTCACTTTATGCTGCTGATATTTTCAATATTCCAAGTATACCCCCACACCAATATCTTACTTTCCCTCTGTGCTATTTGTTCACATTCTCATCCTTATTCTTTATTCCTACTCACAGGAATACAATTTACAAAAAGATAAATAAATAAAAATAACTATGATACAGAAACAGCTTAAACTGGATACCGGCAATTGATACATATACAATTTTGAATCCTTAATTTTCAAAACCTTCAAGTTAAACTTAAACAGAAAACAGTTACAGTAAATATTTCTTACCGGCTTGCAAACTTTTAAAGTCACCCTTGAGATGACTTGCAATATTGCGCAACTTCCTAACTTCCTCTCTTTCTCGCTCATACCTTGTACGCCATCCATCAGCCGTAAGCTTTTCGTTCACCGTTACCAGATTCTTGATGTTTTTAGCTCGCATACCGAACATTAGGGTGGACTTCGTCTCGGCATCATTGTACCCAGCAGGAGAACAACAAATCACCATAGTTGTTCGTGCATTACCTCCAAGAGATTCTTGAAGAATGCGAGTTAGTTTAGAGTCACGATAAGGAACATGAGACTGAAACAGAAAATTATTTAACAGATCAATAGCTTGATAAGGCAGTAGGAGTCATCTTCAAATAAGTACAACATATGCAGACAAGAGATTCAGGTCACCGTAGAGGCTAAAAATATGAGTGTGACGGATTTTCCTGCCTCAGAAACATACACAGTACAGAACTCTGCTAAAAAGTGAGCACATACGTGATCAAAATACAACAATTCAATATCTCACGTGTCATAATCACGTGGAAATTCAAAGTCAACAGTGGCTAGAATACAAGCACTACTACCACCACCACCTGAAAGTATAAACTTACACTTCCTTCCACAAGTGCATTGATCACATTACCAAGAGCAGAAAGCGATTTGTTAATATTTTTGGCTTCGTCCAATACAGTACCCTCAGCGCCTGTCTTCGCAACTGTCACACTATCAGCCAAATCAACAAGATAAAGTTTCCCATATAGTTTCTTTTGAGTTTCCAAGTTCTTTTGTCGAACATTGATTAGGAGTACTGAGTGACTTCGAAGACTGTGCTCGGTCATGTCTATAAATACATAAGCAGTCACAAATTAGTGTCAGCAAATATCCTCAATGTCATATAAACTCCAAGATAACTTAAATTTCATGCACAGAAAACTAATATTTCAGTCAAACCACCAAGCCTAGCTAACAACGCTAACGCTCAAGTACGACATATGCTAGGAATACTTACCCGTCACGGCCACACGACGGTTAGCCTTCCCCTCATCAATTGCATCGAAAACCTCTTTTGGAGTGTAAACAAACTTTTCCGTGACACCCTTGGAGATTCTCGTTAGGAGGAATTATAGCTTACTTTCACGCAAGGAACTCGGTTTTTATCCTCATGCACCGGTAGGTTCGTTTTCGAAACTGAATCGAGATATAAATTAGATCGAAAAATTTACCATCAAGCAGATCACGGATTTTTTCCATGTATATTTCGAAGTAAGAAACCTGAAGATAAGAACAGCACCACAAAAATTACCTTAATACGGAACACCAAGTTTTCGTCCATTTGGTGTATATG